ATTGGATACAGCTACACACTTCCATCTACTTGATGCAGTTCACAGCGCTCTTTTTCAGTGTATTTCGTGTTTCAAATTTAAAGGCGATCAGCGGAGTACACTTTGAGGCGATATGAAGATGACGTTGTATCCTCTTTTAGTATAATTTCAGAGCTGAGCAAAGAGTTTCCAGCAACTTGATTGGTTGATCGGTTCCTTATATCACGCTATATAAACCGCTCCACGCGGTTTATATTAAATGTTAAAATAAAATGTTAATAAATGTTACTAAAATGTTATGACTCTAGAAATTTCTCTGTTGTTCAGCTCTGAAATTATATTAAAACAATAATTCGCCTCAGGTTCGGTAAATATATATATCTTAATAGAAGTTTTGTTGTGTAGTATCTCTGAGTCTTTTTACGAGTTGCGCCGTATTTTGGTGACCTGTAGGGCGAGTCAAAATACAAATAAGGAGTAAAAATACTCAGCGATACTACACAACAAAATTTCTAATAAGTTATATATCATCCAACACACCAAACTGTTATTTCAGTGCGGGCGAATTTCGCGAATATTTATTTACGAGGAATGCGTGACAGAAGTATGCGAGGCGGAACGGAATTGGCGCGTTGTGTTGCTGTTTCTATTTTCTTCATTAAATGAAGAAATTCTCTGGTCGTCAAGCTGTTTTTCTTCGTTCAATTCATCAAATGAACTTGGATCTATATTTGCCAGCCATTCTGACTCTTCGTCGTCGGAAATATGATTGAAATTGTCCGCCATTTCTCCGTAACTGCAATCCAATTCTTCGCTTGCGCGATGCGAGAAAACCAGCTTAACCGGTACTACAATAGACGAGTACAAATACCGCGTGATATTTGTACTCGTCTATGGCGTTATTCGTACTCGTCTAGGTGTAGTTGGATAATAAAAATAGATAGTTTGCACAGGGAGAGTAAACGGTCATAAAACTAGACGAGAATTCTACACGGATATGGATTTTGATTTAAATCTCGAACTCTCTTGATGTTTATGAGACTTATGAACCGGAAAAATGGCCTTGTTGGGGTCATGTTTTGGGTTGTTCAAGATTTTCGATCTGGTTTATTAAGGCTAGAGAAACCTTTTTCTGGGCGGGCCATTTCGTCTTTGATATGAATGTCTGAAATTTGTTTACCCTTATGATTGTACTTTCCAACGCAGTAATTCCATTAATCTGTCTGTAGTCGACAGAAAGCCTTCAAGTTTTTCTTTCGAGGAATATTGTTATACAGAAGGTCCTTATCTATTTCTAAATAATGTAATCAACATGAATTGTATAATTCTCAGGCGTTTAGCCATTTTACATTTGAGAGGTCTGGTCATCAGTTGATTGTGGTTGATATTCAAGGTGAGATTCATGTAGTCAGGGCCTAAACAGTCGATGGTTGTCGATTGTAATCGATGTTAATCGATTGATATTGGTAATCGATAGGCAATCGATCGTGCAACGTTTAGTGATTATCAACTGTCATCGATTATCGATTACAATCATGAGATAGTCGATTCTCATCGATTGATCAAATTTTAAACATCGACTGTCATCGATTACCATCACTGCCATCGGTTTCTATTTGACTAATACCAGTTAAATACTTTCCATTTAAATACGCGGTCTGTAATATATATTACATCCTAAAACGCGTATAGAGTAGAATGCAATGAGGAATTAAGGATGAACCCGAGTTATTTGTTATTTGTTTAAATCCCTTTTGTTCGGAGCTTTCACTTGAACCCCTTTTTCGATCTCCGCTGGTTATCCTACATACAACAATTTTGTTCCTGACTTCTCTAATTGTATGCAAACATTATTCTGCATGATTTGATTTTTTTGTCATATTTCAAGGAAACAAAAACTAATTATGTTAAAACTCGTGGACGGTAGCAGGTTAACAAGTGTAACCAGTGGAGAAGGAGAGGTGACAGTGGATTCTGAAGCAGAACTTTACGCCTGTCATTGAAACAGCGAATGTGCTCCTTTTTTCGGTTTTTGATTTTGTTTTTTTTTTTAAAATCTTAATTTCCATCCTGTGTTAATTTTTAATCGAAACAGTAAGTGTACTGTTTCAGCTGCCAAGCTTTCGCGTCAGTCATGAAGTTGTATTTTGCGGTAATCATGAAGCGCCTCTTGAAAAACTTGGTTGTTCGTCCTACAACATGTATTTTTTAATTTTTTGCACAATGTGTTTGCTTAATAAGGAGTTGGCGATCTGTACACCGACCCTCAAATTCATACATCAGATGGAGAGGATTACGGCGAAGCCAACTTAGGCCCAAGGGGAATGGCACTGTTTTTCAGTTCTCATAAATGTAACAAGTAAGCTGAAGTTTGTACTTAAAAGTATTATCACTGCTATTATGATGCAGTCAGTTGCGTTGCATGCTGGCAGTCTTCGGGCGATGAGGTCAACTGGTGACACGTCATCTTATGAAGCATTTAAGATTCGGAGATTTCTCTTCTATCCCTGTTATAACGGTAATGTTGATAGGAGGGGAAGTCTTTTTTGAATCACCTCTTTGACCCAGTGTGTGTGTTAGTGAGGATCGCAATTGAGTTTACTTTGTGCCCTAGCGGGAAGTGTTGTGCCGGTGTTGTGCGCGTGCAGAGTTCTGCTTTTAAGCGAGTCGGATGTTTCGATCACTTTCCTAGATTTTGTCTCACTGGTGTGTAATCTTACTTCACTACGTTCGCAGGGAATTCCAAAGACCAAGCCATGTTGTTTAGCCGGGTCAACAGCATCTTAAGGCCGTTGTAGGTGTGGTCGTAGGCTCAGATAGTCTCCGATTTGACAAAATTTCTTATTCCATCCCGAGCTCTGTATACCGTAGACATTACAGGGCATTCTCTATGGCAGGAACTTAATATTTGATTACATTTTTCTTAGAATCTGTCACAGCCTTGAACTTTCTCAATTTGACCTAAGCACAAAAGAAATGAATCGAATTGACAAAACCCTGGAAAACATCCAAGATTCCAGTACAATCGTTAAGAGTATGGACGATTGCACATCTCCTGGTCATCGCAAAATCTCCTCAGTCATATTTGACATGACTGAATATCTGGCTCAGTCTCCTCCTCCGTCTCCAGCTGGTTCGGAGCCAGACTCCTTCAGGTCATCACTTTCATCATCTTATGAATTATCAAGATATTCACGGCAGATATCTGAACCAGAATCGTCATCATCTGAGACCGAAGGTGAACAAAGTGATGTGTTTACTGAGAACGAGGTAAGGAAATATATATTATATACTTATTGACTGGGTGTGGGGCCTGAACGGGTAAATCTTTGGCTTTAGGTCATGACCTACGGACCGAGTACGGCGAGGATAGACCATTGACAAAGTTTTGAAAAATTCAAAATGTTTGTTTTAACGTGAATAGGACGCGATAGACTGGCACGCGGGAAAAGATTCTCCAATAGAAACGTTTTCTCTATTTTTTCGAGTCAGAACAAGAAAATCACATTTCATCCATAAACGTGTCTTATTTTCTCAGTTTTGTTCACTGCTGTCACTCTTTTTCTTTTTGCGACAAGAGTGAACGATTTTGCCTTTTTTTATTTTTGCCACACAGCCGTACGAGTGCACTAAGGCTGCACCACCTTTTTCCGCACCTGCTCACGCGAACCCGCCCGGCCCAAAATACGTCAGCTTTCACCATGGTTTTCTATGGGATTGCGCGAGTAGGGCCGGATGTGTAATACGGTAAACACGTATATTTCTACCTTCCTTACTTTCAACATCTGGGAAATTTTTAACTTTCTATTATGAGAGAACATGTAACTTAATTTGCGAATACGGTGGTGTCATGATTAAGGCTATAATTAGTGCTATAATTGTTAACTAGACCGAAGCTGGCAATCCCGAGTGGACTTGCTGGGTGGTCGTTTGGATAACTAATTAAAGAACAGAATTTAATTCGCGTCATCTTTCCTGTTCGCGCAGCCAGGCACGTAATGGCGGATCCTGCTCTTCGATTTCATTAGCGTAGGAGAGTTTCTCCAGCGTCCTTTCTCTGGTTGAAAATTATCTAAAAAAATCAACGTATAAAAATTATTGAAGTATTCGCTGGTAATTAGGAAGTAGCTTCCACCACAGACCAAAGGAGGCAATTGCAGGAAGTAACTTTCCGTTCTGTATTCTTTTATTGTGCAACATTTCAAACTTCATTTTAGGATGAGGATATCCGCAAGTCATTTGCTAATGGTCTGGAACATAAGGCATCAAGTGTATTTGCTGAAGTTAAATTGCTTGGTGATGTTCGTATGAAGCATCGGAGGAGGTCACAAAACAGTGTCTCTGTTCTTGGACTGGTCAGTATGGAGTCCGCGACATTGACGTCGTAGTTATCTTTTTGCTGTACATTATCGTGATCAGTTTATTTTCAGCCATAGTGACAGCCCATCTTCCATTGGTTTGGTGACGACGGTCAATCGGCAAAGGGCATTGATCATTTCTTTTACCTCGTTCCTGTGCCCAAATCCCTTAAACGGGGCTCCGGGAGAAAAAGGCAAATCTATAAATGCGGTCCATGAGAAAAAATCAAAGTTTTAGATAAATATTTTTGGTTGATTTTGATGTCTGAAATCGATTAAATGTTGTCAAAGTATTTGTTGGCAGTGAACTTCTGGAGTGAACAAAACTTGACAAATTGTCAGAAAATATCCAAACTTTCATTTCACATATCTAATCCGATATTCTCCAGCTAAAATTGGAGAATATCCGAGCATAAGTGATATTCCCCATTTTTCAAACCTCACGTCCACAACGTTTAGCTATTGTTCCAGAAGAAGGGAATTGTTCGTTTGTTCATAAAGTCGTACCAGAGAACATTGAAAAAATGATTTTCCCACGCAGCAAACAGTAAGCTGTTCGTTGACATTTTCTCCGTGTGTTACAAAAATGTTCCGAGGATAGTAAACACACTGAATAGTCTCCGTTTGGTGCGAAAATATGCTCGTACAATATCTGTTCCTCATAGCCCTTATCTTCTTTGAGCTCTTGGAGAACTGTTCGCTTCTTGGAACAGATTAAGTCCGCAGACAAATATTTGTGCATATATTGGCGTCAAATGGAAGCTATCGTTGAGTTAGCCTACAGATAAGCGTCAAAATGTGCTACGAACAAAATGTGGTGTCAAAATGTGGCCACAGATAAGCGTCAAAATGTGCTACGAACAAAATGTGGTGTCACTGATCTTCATACCACAGTTCGACGTCATCTGTGATCTATATCTGAATTGGAGGTGACTAATGTTGACGATAAATGCCAAAAGCGATAATAAAGGATTAAACATGTGTGACAAAAATCCAGATTGCACCCAAGGATGTGGCTTAGCCTCCGCCTACTCCTTACCATTCTCCTGCTCAAAATAGACATGACTTATTACTAAGACGAAACTGAACGCAGTAGGTTGGCCGAGTGGTTAGTGAATTTCCAAACTGTATGTGTTTCAGTGGCAAGTTTCTAATTTTAGTTAATTTTTTTCCCTTAGGTTCATCTTGAGTTAGCTAAATGTAACGAGATCGGTCGTTTTACTAACAATGAGCCCCAAATGGAGTGTGCCGTGTTTCATCTAGAGCAAGCTGCAGCTTGTGCTGTTTTACCGGCTTTAATAACAATGGCTGAAATCAATTTACAGCTACCACATGACGCACTAGCTTCAGTGACTATTCAGGTAGCTTCGACGTGTTGAATTGAATTGTTATCAGTCGGGAGTATTTTTGTAGTAACTTGCAATTTATAGCAAACACACTGTGCCCCTGTTTTGTTTTACGTCGTTGGATGCTGCTGCTCTGACAGTCAGTAAATTTTTCCTTGGCAGGAATCTGAAGAGGCCAAGAACCGAGGGGTAGATTTTATGCTGCAGGCAGCTCATTTGGGAGACAGACAGGCCATGGTGTACATGGCGAAGGCTTATGAAACTGGCTCAGGCCTGGGCTCACTAAGGTACTCCCAAATTTCATCATGGTTGTACTTTTTATCTGTGAATAGATTTTTAACTTACCTCAGTAACCGAATGAAATTTAGTAATCCGAGAAACAATATTTGGCCTTGAGGAAAATATGTTTAATACTATCTTGTCAGGCCCTATCTTTGACAAGTAGCCATCTGATGAATCAGAATCATATTGCAAGCCCTATTAACACCCTTTGTCAGAAGCATAGGTCACAGAAAAGTATTTAAACTGAATCACCGTATTGTTTAGGGAATGCTCTTGGGTGGAGGCAGCCAAGTGGTATCAAAATGCCATCGACGTCGTGTACGAAAATGACGATCCACAGAACACACTATTCACGGATCCTAACTACGTACTGTATGCCAAGCAAGCGTACTTGTACCAACAAGGTGGTCATGGGCTTGACAAGCAACCTCAGATGGCTGGCGAACTCTATTCAGCAGCTGGAGATTTAGCACTTGCTGCCACGAAGGGGAAACTAGCCAATAAGTACTTTGCACTTGCTGAGGAGGCTTGGGCTGAAGAAGACGAATAATCTGCTCATGTTTTACGCAGAGAAAGACGCGAGCATTCAAGGATTGGATTGGCCACTTGTGTGCAGGCTCGTAGGAGTAGCAGTTTTTGTCCTTCGTATTATCTCCGTTTAGCTAATGACTACGAATTTTGGACGGTAATATAGAGAATTTAAGTTATTTTCGAAAGCGGAAGTTTAATTTCTAGAGTATGAAATAATTTGAAGTCAGATTAAACAGTTTAACTAGTATGGAGCCGCAGCTGGCTATAACTTATGCGTCCGCCATTTTTTAACAACCTCGCATTTCATGCGTTGGGCAAGGTGGATACTAGACCTCGCCCAGCTTGTCGTAGGCCTTTCCAATAAAAGTGCGTTATTAGACTTTGCTTGAATGTCCTTCAGTCTTGTATGTCATTTTTCAACAAAAAATGTGGCATTGAATTTCTTCTATAATCAAGAAATGAACCGATTCCGAAGAGGTTTAACACTCGAAGAGGCGAACGACCACCATCATCTGGTCCAGCATGAGGGTCCAGTTTCTGTTGCCAATATACGTTTTCAAAGCAAAAGGAACTCGCGGGAGGGATTGGCATTAGCTTGCTGGAGAGCTGAGAGAGTCTTAAGAAACGAATGCAATGTGTTCACTTAAATTCTGCCTTAATCTGTTATTGTGACGATAGGTTTGGGGCGTACTGGGAGAGACGGAAACGGAATAGATCAAACTTCTCGGTTAAACTGATCAAATTGGGGGAGACTAGCTCTGAACATCCGCTTGATTAACGGAAGGCAGAAATCCGTCACTTATTACTTGGTACCCGGGATCTAAGACAACTGAGATTTGAACAACCCAAGAGAGACTTGGAACTCCACTTTCACTTTTGTTTATTATGTCTTTAACGTAAATCCCATGTAAATCGAATCTAAAATTTCAAGGAACTATTTTAAAACTAACGCTTCTGAAATTATTACATCACCTAAGCAAACAATGAAGGTTACCTTCGAGTTCAGATACATACATAAATAGGTTAGTTGGCCACTCCCCATGGGGGCTTTTCAGGGCCAATTCCCACCCATCCCACCCCAGGGGAGGACATCCACGACACTGTAATCTCGTGTGTGGGAAATTAAATCCCTGCAGGGGACGGGGTCTACAGTTTACAGGAAAAACGATCCCAAAATTCGTTTCCACAATTTTCGAATGATGCAGCGATTCGACGAACTTGGATTCATGCTGTTGGAAGGACATCCTTGCCCAAAGACTCGCGTCTGTGTTCGAAGCACTTCGAACAGCATTGCTTTGAAGTCTTACCCCTTTACCGTTTTTAGCTTGAATACTGCACTCAAAAGCAACGCAATGCGGCATTTTGCTACCAATTTTTACCGAGGGCAAGGGAATCGAGCAACCATTTTACGTCATCACCCCAGAGAGCTTTACGCGCCGATCAAAATGGCGACCGCGGTACGTTCGAACTGGTCGAACTGTTCGAACTGAAGGCCTCTTTTAGGAGGCCACAACAAAAAATCTAAGGGAAGAGAACATTTTTCTGTCCGAAAAATCTACTTTTGGACACTTAAAGAGTATACTCATGGTCTTAAAATAAGTTAGGAGAGTTTACTACCTTTCTATAATCAAGAAATCGATAGATATTCTAGTCTTCTCGGATAAGCACGAATAAACCGTAGGGCCCGTCTCCTGCTGGGTTAGGGGTAGGAGAGGTTAATTTCCCACGCACAAGATTACTGTGTTGTGGATGTCCTCCCCTGGGGTGGGATGGGTGGGAATTGGCCCTGAAAAGCCCCTATGGGGGGCTAACTCTTGAACAAAAGTACAACTGTTAAACTATTGTTCAAGAGTTTTGCGGTTTTCCGAACTACCTAAATGAGGGGAAAGACCGCAGACCGCCATATGATGCTTGGAATGATTATGGGGAGTGGTCGACTAACGTATGTATGTAACAGTGGAGGATCCCTTTAAAATGTATCCCGTCGTAAGCGCTGTCATTCCGGTTTGGGCATCCCTCCTCTGCTTCAATGTTACAACTTCAATAGTATTTTCCCTACCATATTATACCTGCATTCACTGTAATATTTGTTACTTTAATTAACAATTTCTGCTATTGTCCCTGTAGTAAATAAACATCGAAGCTTAGTTTCCCACATCCTGCACTTTCTCAAAAAAGAAATAGTTCTTAGTGATAGTTCTAGTATATGTAGCTGTGCACCTCTTTAAGATGGATGAAGCAAAAGGCATTAGAATGAAGCTGTCTCTGTAACGGACTTGTTTGTACAACCTTCCTCGATGGTTCAACATATGACAAACGCGGCTATTTGCGAGTTGCGTCGTAGTTTTTCCGCGCCACATATGGGAGAGGAAAAATACGAGCAATGTGCCTTTTGTCCGTACTTTTCCCTCTTAAACAGCATAATGCCATTGCATACTTTTCGCGTTCCATTTCCCTAATATGGTAAAATGGAATAAAGGGGGCAAGTTTCTGAAGAAAGTGTGGTGCTGAGTCGACGGAAGTAACAAGGTAATTTGGGTTTTATCAACTGAGTTGATAATGTAATTTGGTTACCGTAAAGAGTTCCAAAGCTGACGTTTCGAGCGTTAGCCCTTCGTCAGAGAGAAGGGAACAATTGTGGGTTGTGTGTGTGTTCATATACAAAAAGTGGGGCTCCGCTTTTGGTAAGGACACGGTAATCAAACCAACAAGAATAAATAAGTAGAATGAAAAGCGTTCATTGATACCGTTGGGATTAAGAGTGCCGATTTGAAATATAAACTTTTGTTCAAGAGTTTTGCGGCTTTCCGAACTACCTAAATGTAGGGAAAGACCGCAGACCGCCATCTGATGCTTGGAATGATTAGGCAGATTTAAGTGTCAAGCGACTGGTTCGGATGCGTCCTTATCATTCGGTCGCTTGACACTTTAATCTTTAGTCTAGGAGAAACTATTTTGCATTTTTATCGAGCATTACTTTCTGTCACATAGGACAAATACCACAATCTTGTACAGCTGACTGTTCAGTTCACTTCTTGCACTCAATTCATTTTGATATGACGTTCGGTCTTGATAGTTTTAACTTAATACAAATGTTATTACACTTCGGATGCATCTCTTTCCAAAAGCTATCAATGCCACGCTGACGTAAATTCCCTGTTCCAAAACACTGGTATCGCTCCGAGTGAATCTGAGGGTCAGTGAGAAATGTGCATTCACCTTTGTCAGTAGTATCTGGAGTCCAGCCTTGAATATCAACGATCACTAGCTGCTGTTTTGATGCTTCGAATGTGAAGTGGCTGAATGCCAAAACTATGTCGGACATGCCGTCCTCACTTCTGACAAAGCCAAAGTTGTTGGTGAGTTTGACAAATTCTCCAGCCATGTAAGGTTCCACGTTATACACGGCACCACTGACGGGGCCACCACCGTCAACAAGTTGTAGCAAAACAACAGGAAGGAACTGGATATCGCCCACATTCACAGCTAGGAATGATAGGAATACATACGTGAATTAGTGGTTTTGGTTTGTAAACACGAGGGTAAGCCTACCTCGTAAATGAACGGCCGACTCTATTAAAAGTTAGACCCGCGGCAAACGTTCATAGAACGTCACAGTCTACTGAGGTGAGATTTTGTCAAAGACAAAACTGTGTCGCAACTTTCTTCAGTTACCTTGAGTGGCCACTCGCGCGCCGCATTAGACCCTATAGCCATACGACATACCTAAATCCTTCGAGGTTACATGCTACTGATGTGAAGTGAGGAATGTCTCTCGGCAGTTGTCCCCGATATTCCCCAAATTTACCTGAAGCACATTCGGTCACGTGACACGTTTCAAACGATTGCACGAGGGCCAAAACATTTCTCGGGTAACTCTAATAACGTCTAACCCATATAATAACAAAAGCTAACAACTCATCCCCTTGAAGGGAAACAGTTCATTCTATTTCCGAATGTGACAACTCTGCCTTTGTCAGAAGTGAGGACGCCATGTCCGACGTAGTGTTGGCATTCAGCCACTTCACATTCGAATTTTCATTCTATTTCCCGAGAATCTTAGGTTGCGTTCTTTGGGAAGATCTAGATCAGATTTCTGACTTGTAGCGCTCCTTTCCAGCAAATCCGTTTTCAGATTATTAATCTATTGAACCCATTCTGGACTGGGATTCATTACATCACTGATCTGGGTCATCTGACAATGGATCACAGGATCCATGATCCGCTACGGCCCACTGGACAATGGATCCGAAATAGGTCACTTTGCAGAACGAGTTTTGCTCCACAACAGCTACATCATACGTCTAAACTCCGACCATATTTTCACGCCAAATAAAGGCTATTGTCTCCAATACTTATCGCTTCGTGATGTGTGCGATATCGGTTTTCAAGTGCAAATTAACGCGGAATTCATGAGCCGGGTAATGGATTTCCCTTGAATCGCATGACCGAATAAAAGTAATAAAAAAAGGAAACAGAAACGATATTTTTTTTTATCATAAGCGCGAAAAAAAAGATGCGAAACAATATAACTTAGCCTCGTTTTCAAACGTAATTCCGCCCTAAATACCTCGCTTCGTTAACCAATCAGAATGCGAGATATTAAATCATGCGATTCTACACAAAGGAGAATTCCGCGGGTAATTTCGCCGAAATTGCACACTACGTTCTCGTTATTCTGTATACTAATCCTGTGAATCGCCGAAAAAGTCAACGAATCGGATCCCTAATGTAATTTTACGACCATATGACTGTTCTTGATGATACTCATATATTTCCAACATGGGATAAAAAAACTTGATACTGATATGCCAGTATCAAGAAATGGCGACATCCACCATCCACCTCTAACGGTATTGCAAATCGCACAATATGACGCAGGGATGAACTTATAAAAGAGAATACTTCGTAGATTTGGTTAAACTCATACGAGCTAACAAGACTGATATTGAGTATCTGTACCCAGATCACACCTGCAAGATAGAGTTGCTGGTTGAAAAGTGTGACGTAATGACGAGCTGTCATCTGACAAATGACATCCTGTTGATACTGTTTGATATCTCTGGGCTTCTTGTAACACTTTGCCACATACCTGAAAAAAAAAAAGGTCAGTTTACTGTTAAAACAATTCAGCTTCCAATGAATTTGGTCAACCAATCACGCGCCCCTCACCGGTCATTTTCTTGTCTTTGTCGTCAGTGGGTATGCGGTCAACAACGCGGGCTCAAGTGTCCTAGGTCTAAAATTTAGCGAAATTCGCGGAAAATAATAAGGGCTGACCTTTAAAACCGATTTGATTATTTGTATTTGTATTTATTTATTTTTTAGCGAAAGGGGGGGGGGCAGTGCATCCACCCTTGCATTTTACCACTCTAGGAATTTTCGACGTAGCACTTCACTTAATCCCGTGACTTTTTAGTAAAATAAACAAATAAGAAAAATACCTCACAATTTCTTCAAAGCATTTTGCATGGCTATTTCATCTGTAAAAGGAAGCCCAAGTTCACGCAGATATGCGTCTAGTTTGCAAATATTATGCTCTCTTGACGACGTAAGTTATAATCATAAGGAATCTCATGTTCAAGCAGTTATGCGTCTAGCTTATTATTAAATACGCCAAACGATTCCCACATCTTCTAAGTTGAATTATTATATCAACTGTGTAAAAGTTGGAAGCAAGCATTTTGTCTCTATGTTTAAGGCATTTTGTATTTCTCAAGGACGAAGGTTGAAATGTAATACTAAAGCTAGTCGTTATATGGCTTTGTTTTCAGTCTTGTAATAGACCGATTTCTTTTTTTAAGCTCGATGCTGTAACCTTATTCCGACTCCTAGATTTACAGTATCTCGGTTTTAGTTGTGCCACTTAAATTTATTTTCTATGAAGATCTGCATAGTTGAAACCAAAGAAATGACGACAAGACCATACAAATCTGATTGATACAAAAATTAAAGATTTTATTAAAGAGAACCGCGAGGTCACGCAGGTATGCGTCTAGTTTTTTAGTTAATGAAAGTATTCTGTTTTTAACAAAATAGTACCTGGTGCTTTGCTGTTCATATACAGTGAAATTAACTACCTGTACTTTGCTTTATATGAAATTTCATAACCCTGCAGAGTGTAGGTATGAGCTGGTCTATATCTTTGGGGCAAATTGATTAACCACAGAACGGTAGGTAGCCCGCCAGAAAGCTCGTCTTCTCAACTGCAGAAGCCTTTTCCATGGCTTTTGCCTGGTTAAGTTAGGAATGTAGACAATAGAGGTTTTGTACAGTAGCCATGTTGGATGGCAGGAACAATGAAAATATTTTGCATAAGAAAGAATTTTTTTTCCCATGGGTAAAATAATCTATTGCTCCTGCCATCCAACATGGCTGCTGTGAAAAACGTCTATTTTTCATACTACAGCAATATAGAGCTATTGATATTCATGGATTGAAAGCAATTTTTAAAAGGAAAGGTAAGACTTTATTCCAGCAGAACAAATTTGTTTGTGTACAAATCTTACAAGGCGGATTATGAGTCTTAGAGAATAAATAAATAGATAACAAAGAAAATCAAAACAAATGTAACTCACAGAAAGTTCAATCGTTGCCTCTAGAAAACGTGAGGTGAGAACGAACGGAACGATTACAATCTAACAACACTCGCCCCTTGCATTGACGACTTGTTTTATGTATGTATGTATTTATGAATATTTATACAGGGTAGCGCAGATTAGACTTCTTGGAGACATGGCCAGCTGAAAAGTGTTTTCCATATTCTAGGAATGGCACCCGGGGCAATCCTTTTTCATGCCTAATCTACGTCGATACTCCTTTCGGCTAGAGGTTTGAGCGATGCAGGCGTACGAATATAATGCCATCCATTAGCTTTCGTAACTATTTCGTTTGGTCTGTGTAGCGATATTTCAGCATTCACATTTAAGAAAAATTGCTCAATCCCGCATAACACAATTCTAGGGTGCCATTTCCGGCCTAAAAACGACGATTAGACTCTCCTAGAACTATTCAAGTACAAAAGTCTTCGTCCATTTCTTGGTTAAGAGCCTGCGCAAAAGTTTAAGGGATAATATGACGTCACAGACTAACGCGCAGTCATTTCGCAGTTTGAATAATGGCGGACGTTGAATCGAGGAAAACAAGTCTAAAAAAAAACAGACTTCCACTTCGAATTTTCATTCCAAATTTCGCGAGAGGGGTATGTAGCCGGTAAGGATTCAAAAAAGTGAAAAATCTGGCAAACGCTAAATTTGCGCTGTAGTGGTGAGCGTTCGGGAAGATGCCTTCAAGAGGGAAGTTTATCCACAGTATTGAACTATTAGCAGTTCGGTAACTTCTGGCAAAAATTTGAAGTAAAAGATGCCATGGTTCAGTGTTTATTAAAAAAAAAAAAAAATCAAAGCCACTGTCTGAGCTCAAACAGACTCTGTAGGAAGATGCTAAACTCCCAGAAAAATTGCTCCTCTCAGAATATTTTCATCCTCAAACCGAGATAGTAAAGATCATGATAACAATCATGAAAATTATAATGATGATAACAATAACGATAGTAACAATAATAATAATAATAATAATAATAATAATAATAATAATTTAAGAATAAACACTAGCGAGAAAAACACACAACGTTTCGATGACTCCATGTCATCATTCTCAAGTGAGAAGGGAATAAAAATGAATAGTTAATTTATACCGTACGAAGGTGGCAAACGTAAAAAGTTTAAAATATTTAAAATATTTAAATAAATAATTGCGCGTGTTGAGTTCATAAATGTAAACTATTAAATAAATAGTTTCGCGCGTATGGAATCCGATTGTTTGTTCAAAGAGGGCTTCATCTTCTTTATGAAAAGCATTTCATGAACTGAACAGTCCAGTTTCCCGGTGCACTTTTTAAGTACGTTGAAATGCTTGGTCAAGTTGCCGATGGTTTGTAGGCCGTGGTCGTTCTTTAGATGTTTGCCGATGGCCGAATTACGGTGCTCATTAATACGTTGATGTAAATGCAGGCTGGTGTACCCGACGTACTCTGCATCACACAGATCACATTTATAATTATATACAACGCATTGTTGGCTAACTATAGGAGGTTTAGGCTCACGTACTCTGAGATCTTCACAGATTTTGCGACTCTTGAACACGGGATGAAGGGTGTGATCGATTTTGTTGCTTAGATCTGATAATTGCCTTTTCACTGCGTCAGCCGACTTTTGATCTTTAAAAAGCAAAACCACTCGGTGAACAGCATTTTCGTTGACGGATAATTGAGCTTGCACTCCAGGGTTTTCCGACCTAACTGAGGTGACAAAGTGAGATGGTGGAATTGATGAGGTGGTCGGGATAATTTACAAACCTCAAGTATCCCGACCACCTCATCAATTCCACCATCTCTCACTTTGTCACCTCAGTTAGGTCGGAAAACCCTGGAGTGCAAGCTCAATTATCCGTCAACGAAAATGCTGTTCACCGAGTGGTTTTGCTTTTTAAAGATCAAAAGTCAGCTGACGCAGTGAAAAGGCAATTATCAGATCTAAGCAACAAAATCGATCACACCCTTCATCCCGTGTTCAAGAGTCGCAAAATCTGTGAAGATCTCAGAGTACGTGAGCCTAAACCTCCTATAGTTAGCCAACAATGCGTTGTATATAATTATAAATGTGATCTGTGTGATGCAGAGTACGTCGGGTATACCAGCCGGCATTTACATCAACGTATTAATGAGCACCGTAATTCGGCCATCGGCAAACATCTAAAGAACGACCACGGCCCACAAACCATCGGCGACCTGACCAAGCATTTCAACGTACTTAAAAAGTGCACCGGGAAACTGGACTGTTTAGTTCATGAAAGACTTTTCATAAAGAAGATGAAGCCCTCTTTGAACAAACAATCGGATTCCATACGCGCGAAACTATTTATTTAATAGTTTACATTTATGAACTCAACACGCGCAATTATTTATTTAAATATTTTAAATATTTTAAACTTTTTACGTTTGCCACCTTCGTACGGTATAAATTAACTATTCATTTTTATTCCCTTCTCACTTGAGAATGATGACATGGAGTCATCGAAACGTTGTGTGTTTTCCTCGCTAGTGTTTATTTTTAAATGTCTAACAAAATCTAATGTCATTCGAATAATAATAATAATAATAATAATAATAATAATAATAATAATAATAAGCATTCTGGGACGTTCCTTTATTTGCGGAGCACCAAGAAGTTAGAGCCAACAGAATAGATGCGCGTATTACTCGACCATGAATCAAGGCGAGTCATCACGCTGGAGATGAGCTGCACATGCATTACAAATAGGGGGAAAAAGAATGAGGAAAAAACCTCGAAATACAGACCGCTTCGCTGGGAATTAAAGCGGAAGTACCAAGGATATAAAGTGAAACAACATAATATCATAATGGACGCATTAGGGGGATGGTGTCGTGACTTCGAAGCCGAAATGAAGAAGTTGGTCGGAAACAAGAGTAAGGGAGTTCTTTAAAATATGCAGAAGGCTATGATCTCGAGAACACTAAATATCTCCCGGAAATTCAAAGTTGCAACATAAACAATGAACATCGCTTTCTATTTAACTCGGCTTTGCCTTCAAAAATTCTTTGGATTATCAGAAATTTAGGAAGTGATCGTCACTGATTAACTCTTTCATAGCCGAAATAAGTAATAGGTTCAGTTTTAAAGATTAAATAACGACTATTTTAGATTCGGATACCCGAAATACCTAATTTTTTTATTTCTCGACGGTTATTTTTTTTTTTAAATATAGTTAACGGGCTACGCTCATCCGCCCCGTCATACTATTCTTACTGTATGTAGCATACAAAATTTTTAAACTGCTGCATAATAATAATAATCTGTCTTTCAGTTTGAACTTCAACTGTGAGTTCACTGAGTGATGCCGAAAGAGAAACTTATTTATTTTGCGAACAACACGACCTTACCCTGCCAAAGGATCATCTTGATCAGCAAACTCTACCATATACGCATTTCTCTGTGCTCCCTCTTTGCCTTCCTCTAACTCAAGTAAATTTCCAACATATGCCAATGTCTTTTCCCCTTTCCACTCTCTTCGTAGGTAGTCATATCTCCAAACAATAGCAGCTACAAAAAAACAGAAACCCCCGGGTGACTCGTACTTTTGACTGGACAAACATTACTATAATAATTTAAATATAAACGGTATGCTGCGCTCTAGGGTTGAACCCACGTATGTACATCCGAAAGTTACCCATCGATAATATATCTTTCCCAGGAAAAACCCCCTACATTATTACCATCTCATATTGTTACCTGGATACCTTGAAAGACTTTTCACATCACCCAAATGGCAGTTTTCCTTAAACGTTTCTATATTGCAGCGTATTTCATCATACCCCTAGCCTGAAAAGAGTACCTTTTCTAAGAAGCACAACCCCCTCGCAGGCCATTATTGAATATTCCCTCTAAACCTCGAAAAAAGAGTCTCGTTTTTGCGAGAGTAACCTCGCGATTACAAAACAACGAGTGATACGCATTGTGTATAATATGCTCTTATGAATCCCAGCGTGGTAAGGCCGGGTAAGAAGACCAGTACCATGACAGATATAGCATAGGTTGTCGGACTGCAGATTAGTTACCTTGTACTTTGTGACTCGGATCTACTTTCACGTTCCGGAGATGAGACTGAAGATCGTTTATGGTTTGAGACAGAAGCCTGTCACTGCTGATTGCCACCGTCTCCTGTTCCAGGTGTTGGATTATAACACAGGGATCTGCAGTATCGACCTTCACTTCAAAGCTGTCACCTGATGCATCAGTGACAGGTTCTGGGGAATCTTCGGTTGAACAGCTTTCTCTTGTTTCACAATCTCTATTAACAGTTAAGTCAATGTAGTTTGTAGCTGGTGGCCTTCCTCCTGTGTTAGTAAGACCGCTGTGAGAATGTTTGGGCTTTTCTGCCGTTAAGCTATCGGTGACCACAAATCCTTCGCTACGCATTTCCAAACGAGTCTCGTGATGATCTGATCTGATGCCTCTTTCCACCGAGCTGTCAGTCAGTGCTCTTGAGTGCACAAAAACTGACTTGCTCGTTTCCTCACGCCGATTTTCGACGACAGTTAAGGAAAGTGCTTTTTTGTTGACATCTCGAGAATCTGCACACCACTGAGGCAACCCTAAAAAACCTAGACAGTGAGCAATCAGCGTAGTGATACCGCCATCCAAAATGATCATCCCGCTGAAGTGGCAGTAGTGTTCATACATTGACATCGACATTCGTAATACCTCCTTTCCTTGGTCAGTGCAACCAGTATCTGATGACAACTCCTCGTATGCGAGGCCAAGCTTGTAAACTGCACAAACAAAGACATAGAACTCTTCTCGGCTTGTCAACGACTGCAGGTCTTTATGAGCTTGAATGCTGTCTTTGAAAGCTTGAATGGAATTCTTAAGACAGTCTTGCTTTGTAGTTCCACACGGAATAACTCTTGAGTAATGCAACAAACATTCCCCGGCACGACACTTGATAGGACAAAAAATACCGTATTGCTAAAGTATACAAATAACTTTCACCGTAGTTGCCTTTTCGATTCATGGAGTAGCACGGGCTCACCACGATACCCATCCGAAATGTATGTGTATCGTCGCCGACATCAACACAAAGATAGAGAGAAATAGTAACACTCAAACTACAGTCGAACCTGTATCAATCGGTCACCCACCGGGAATGGCGGGGTGACCACTTAATAGAGGTTAACTGCTTAATACAGGTTTCACAGAAGAGGGGTATTATCCTTTCCTCCTCCGACTCACTTCTTCCCTTAACTTAGCTCTACCCTTGGCATTTGGGAATAACAGGTCCTGATGATAGTTGGTTAGTACTGATATCCACAGTGTCTGCACTGACAGGAAGAAGCAATGGGGAAAAATACGCCCCATGGTACTGAAAGTTTGGATTCATATTTAGTTTGGCGGTCCACTAAATTCATCATGATTTATCAAAAATGCTGTGATATATATCAAACCTTTAACAGAATTATTTCTTCTATAGAATATTCAATAGCTTTTTCATAACTCCTCCCTAACGCCTCCCGCCTCCCGCGTCGCACTGTAGCTTACTTAGTATACTTACTTTATGTCTGGCGTAAAAAAGTGGCGTGAATTGTGATCTTTCAGCAGCCTCGCACGCGCAGTGGTAAGCTTGAAGCAATGGATGGGAGGCTGTGAGACCATACATGTGACAAACAGGTAGATACTCAGTTACACTCATTCGCTGAAAGCAGTTACCGAGAATAGCAAGGCTGGAGGAGATTCCTTTTGTATCTGGGATTGGAAGTGTGCTGATTTGAAAGGAAAAAGAAGACATAAAAATTAAAAGTCTATTAATGAAAACACATTCAAACAGACCAAAAACTAATTATGTTCGACGGGGCCACGTAAAGGTATTCAAAGTCGTTTTTTTTGAAAATGTTCAAGAAGACAGGATGATTTGCGATCAGTTTGAATTATGCCTACATACAGATGGGGAGATTCGAGCTTTCTGATAATACCAAAGCTGTCTCGTACTCTAAAAGTCACCTACTGTACCCATCCAATCCTTCCCATGTTTTTTTGTATGTTTGACAGCTGTGCCTTTCTTCCAATATCAACGGAGTAATCAGTAACGGCCAAAACCGGCTGACACAGTCCCTTTAACTACAATTCTTACTTTTCTAGAGCGTGGTGGGGTACTTGCTACACTTCTGCAAGGTAAGTCCCATTCCGACGATTAATGTCTCATCCCATATGTTGTGTAAGTTTCAAATTGTCAAGAAAATAATCTAGGTAACCACTTAAGGTCACATATAAGTTAATTGACCCCTTACCAATTTGAACACAACAACTTAATGTAATCATTATGGAACCATTGCCATGTTTTCAGTTATTTCATTTGATAACCACGTCATGAACGCATTGCAAAAGAATTCCCGCTCCGCTCTGCTCCCCTTGCATTATTGTACATATCCGCTTGGTAATTATAATAAGTCTTTTCGGACGAGCGAATCCAAGCATACCTAAACAAAACCACAGAATCCAACAAAAGCTTTGCCCCTTCCGTCCATTGTCCCAGGTTGTACTGAATGTCACCTTTGATCTGAATGCAGACTGCACTTACAAGTTGACGATCATGTTCCGCCTGGTAGATCCATTTACCGATTTGTGCCTTCTGAGCTAGGAGATCGTCAAGAGCTTTCTCCGCACCTAACGGGATAAGGAAAAGCGGTTGATCCCTTGGTGTGTAATGCTCCATAATTACCGGCCAGATGGACGTGATGCCTCACCGTATGAATCACAGAATAGTTAGTAATCCTATGGCGACACCGCGTGGTTTTATTCGACAACCAGCTGAACCGAATACGAGGTTTTCCTTCACCGAACTTTTTGGATACCCAGTTAATTCATTCGAATGGCACTTGGTTATCATCTGTTTATCAACTTCTTTTTCTTTACTGTGACCAAAGATATCGTCTAGTAGCTGATATCTTTTCAAATCCTAAAATCCATTACCTTTCTGTGAATATGTGGTTTTTGGAAACTAACTCGGAAATAACCAAGTCACATCTTTTTCTGAAGGAGGACATTTAAGGTGGTGTTTTCTAGCCGTAACTTAAAGTTCAGGAATTTTAATTTTACCAACAAGAAACCTTTTTTCGCAACAAATACCTTCAAAAAATAAGCTTACAGATACCTTGTAGGTTTCCTGCGTTTTTCATAATTCTGACATTTCTTATCAATAACTGAGGTGCAATGGGTATGCCAGGACTGTTGGTCTTCAGATATTCAACAAATTGAAGAGTCCTATGAGACATTCCTTGCCAATAAGTGAACCTGTCCAGAACAAACACTAATGCTCCTACAGTGCTGTATTTCTTCTCTTTCACTGCATGAAACAAGCACTCCTACGAGGAGAAGAAAAATATCATTCAAGCACTTGCATGGATCCCACCTGGCAATTCATTTTGCATTTCTCACTAGAAATTAAAATTTCTAGTCAAATAACAGTCCAGCCTTTTAACATAAAAGAAACAGACAACTACAATATAACTGAATAAGTGATGACATCAATACCAGGCTCTGTGACGTCTGGATTATAAATTATCGCGGTTTTCCTCATAGGACCGCCAAGAACCGCAGCACTAAAGGTAAAAGTCAAAATGACGCAATGGTTTTTCCGGTTAATGTTAAGTTTATATTCTAAGGTAGAAGCATAAGAACTACTGTAGGTTGATAAAATTTTTTTGCATATCCTGGCTATCAACCTCCGACCAACCCAGTAGAAAGGACGCCTAGAAGAATTCTGGCCCAAGGTCGAGGCAAACCGGACCAAGCCAGTTCGCTCCCATGGAAAACGACCACTAGCCCATATAATTCAGTACGGCTTGAGCGAGCTAGGTTAGTAAGACGTTAATTACACGGCACCCAAACAAGCCTGTTGATTTTTACGTTAACAAAGATTTTGGGGCAATTCAATTCAAGTAACTCATATAGATCATGTTGCCAGGAGTTTATAACCAAATTCAACGAACAATACATCACGTAATACATAATACTTACGAATGTTTAATAGGGATGGAATAGAATTTGACAAAAGCATCAACAAATGTTAATGTTTCAGAAAAACTTCGTCAATTTGTTAGTATGTGATGAAAAAAGGAAGACAAGCTCGGATCCAGATAAGCTTTCATACTTTCATAAGTTTATTAACCTCCACGTGCCGAAGAAGAGTGACCAGCCAAGTTTTGTCTTTTAGCCTGTGTTTGTTTCATGCATGGCATTCTGGCTTTCGTTTATGCCTGTTTCAGTTACTAATTCGTACATCTACCCTTAGGGTAATAAATTGAGCTCAGCAAATATTTGTCTTTTTTCATCGAAAGCTCTTTGAAATGGCCAAAATTTTTACGTTGTTTCGTAGTGAAACCAAGTGATTGCTTTGTCATTCTTGACCATACTTCCAGCAAAGTACGCTGCACGCAATGATCACTTACATCCAAGTGATCTAAGTGTAAAACCACTTCCAGTTACATGACAAGCGGAGTGAGCGGAGAGAGAACAAGCCTCGATCATTTCATTACGGATCGGCACGCAAGAATTAGAAACCTGCCACAGCTGGACCTTGGAAGATGTGAAGGTCGCACAAAATCAACGGAAATTTGGGACCCATTTGAAACTCACGTGGCACTAATAGTAAGGTTAGCCAGAGTGCATAGGGCATATGACCGAAGAATGTTTCGGTGAAACATGGAAAAAGAAAGGAAATCAACTTCCTTTGTCACAGAAGCAGAAGGATAAGCCACCATTGGGCTACCAACATTCCATGCACTCGACCGTACCACCTTGAACTGCACTGTACAAAAGACTTAACCAAAATACTGACGAAACGATTGAGAAAGTCACACCCATGAAAAATACGGAATTGGAAAGTTCCAGGGTCAGTATCACATCAATGCGGATCCATCCGTGCCCCTAATCGTAAATCCTCATCCATACATACCACTGAGTCTGCATGATAACATAACAAAACGAGCTGGCTGATATGGAATCTAATGTATAACAGAAGGTAAACCGACTGCCAAGAGTTTGGTGCACCCAAAGAAATCCAAATGGTAAACTGTGGATATGCTTTAACCCTAAGGACCTAAAGAAAGTTATTTCCAGAGAGCCTAACACCGGGAACTTCTTCCAAATTAGCTAGTGCCAATTTTCTCTCCACTATGAATGCCAAATGTGGCTAACAGATCGTTGCAATCGAACGAGAATCAAGCTACCTAGCCGCCTTCAAATTTACCCTCTGGCCGCTACAGATATCTCTGCGTGCCACTTCGTCACGAGATGTCCCAGATTATTTTCTAAACGAAAACCGATGACCTTTCAAGGTAGTAAGTGCAGGGACTGCTGATAGCATTTCCGGTTGTAAGATGTCAGGAGGGTAACAGCCCCTTGACCCAACCAAGTTAGACCATCTCATTTAACCATTACAAAGTCTGCCTTGCTTCCATTATCCATCCCAACCAGTAAGACATTAAGTGTAAACCGCAAATGCAAAACGTCCTCTCGCTGACTTGCGAGATTCGCAATATCTCTCAAAGGGACAATAAAGTTTTATATGTAGTTAAATAAAGTATCTTATAACTTTGAAGTAAAGGGTTAAAAAAATTACCCACCTCCATGATGTCAAGTTCAGTTAAGAATGGAGCAGTAGAATTCTTAGCTGTAATTAGATCCTTAATATTGTACCTTTCTTCTGGTCCAACACGGGAAGTGTATTGCCTGTAAGAAATATTAATTTTGAATGTTTCAAAGAACGGTTCCCTAGAAATGGCCATATTGAATTAGTACTTAAAAAGTAAACTATACTGCGATATATGAGGGAGCTTTAAACATGTTGTACATGTACAAGCTTATTTTCAAGCATGAGGCCTCGTTGGGTGCAGAGTGGGGTACTTTGTCTGGTGTTGGTGAAAAAACCTTTTAGGGAAGAAAGCTCTGTTCTTGTTGAATCATAGCCATGAAGGGTGAATAAGTGAATTCCTGCAATGATGAGCATGCCTTGATTTCCAACCAAGGTGCCTGTTCTGGATTTCTTACTGTACAAAACCTCGCTCAAAAAAACTAGCAACAGTGCTTTCATGAAATAAACTTGGATTAAATTTTGCTTGAGATATTATTCTTAGCTTTTATTTGAGTGGTTCCCCTTCAAGTGACTGTCCAATACAGGCAGAAAACAAGACAAACAGGCCCTTGGAACTCAGTAAAGTGTGATCCTGACAGCTTAATAAAGGTGACCACTTAATAAAGATGAAAATTACAGTAACTAAGGGGAAACAGGGTGACCATACAGTGCCACTTAATACAGGGTGACCACTTAATACAGTGCCACTTAATACAGGGTAACCACCTAACACAGTGCCACTTAATACAGGGTGACCACTTAATACAGTGCCAGTTAATACAGGTTGGATTGTGTGTTGGCATCTCCTTCTCCTTCTAAGAAAAAATTAATGCTTTATCACTTGTAAGACAGCACTAAATGTATTGCCATGATGGGAAAAGGAAGAATGGTGGAGCAGTTATAGAGGAGTCAATGCTGCAGGCAGTATACTTTAACTTTTATTTGTTCTTTGCAGTTAGATGTACCACACCTCAGTTGAGCCCACTTAAGGTGGCTGAACACAGGTTTTGATACCTTTGTTTCTTTCACCATTTTCTCTAAAACCCTTGATCTCTTGGTCGCCAAAACTGGCAGCAAGTAAGTTAACAACACAAACTTTGTTTTTTCGATAGTTAAGCTGACGTATGTGCCATTGCCATGGTGACATGAATAGATATAAACAGGCAATTCAAATCGGTTTTGTTTCTTTGTAGAAAATCTAATCATTAGATTTTCTTTATAATTTGCATGCAACAAGCTTGTAACGATACTCAAAAGTTAACACCATTTTGCTAACAATTTAACAGAGAGATCTTTAATTATCCCTTGTTGAAGGTTCACTCGATTTTTTACAATTTCCTTTGTTTGAAATCAATGTTTTTCAATACTCAAGTTACTTATTTCCTAAAGTATTTTCGTGCCAAATTTCGTGAAATTCTAACTAGTGGTTCTCAAGAAATAGGCATATTTCTGAGAAAGCAATATTCCATTCAATCGCAATTTTTTGACTTCCTATGCATGCACTGCATTTAACTGGGTTCTTTTGGTAACAATGAAAAAGCTGAGAATTGTTGGGTTCTTTGCACCATTAACTTTTCTAACATATCTTTGTAATAAAAGATTAAAGCCCTCAATACAGCGCACCAACTATAGAGAAAAACAGCAAAGATAGCGCGGGTACATGTTGAGTAAATAAAATGAGCGCTCTATTGACAGCACGTTTGTTTTTTGCAATCCCTGTGCGCGCACTGAATTGCATCAACAAAAGTGCCTGCAAAAACTGTGTTCAGCCACCTTAAAGGTAGCCATTATTGTTGACAGGTAGCTAGTGCCTAAAAGAATATTGGATAACCTGGTAAGATTCTGCTTTTCCAGGCACAGTAAATGGGACTACAAGTTTGGCAAAAATGAGGGCATTTGTAATTTTTGCAGGCTCAGTTTTCAATAATTCACCTTGCAATGGTTTTTTCCAATTATTTTGTTCTCATTTGTTTGGGATTTGGCCCAAATAATGATAATTGACATGCATTCAGGGTCATGCCTTGCCACTGCTCAGCTAGAGGGTGAACACCATGTGGTGGTTAGGTGTCCAGAGCAACTTGCTTAAGAGGGGTTGCTTTAGGTGTAAAATGTAGACATCTAACAACTTAGACTTGTGTTTGATCCTACTCTGGCACTGTTTGACCAGTGTGTTTTTCATTCCTGTAAGATTTTCAAGAGAATGTGTATGGGTCATTGCATGGGGGCAAGTATGATGAATGATCAACACCACATGTGTTTTCAAAAGTTACCCTTGTGCAATTTCTGCAACTTCTGAAAACATAAGTGATACTTATCCCTATTTTACAAAGAAACATGCAACTAATTAATGATAACATAAAGGACAAAATTTTGTCCAATAAAGAGGGTAAAAAATGCACACTGTTGCACAATTTTGAAGGAATCCATTTCAGTATGTAAGTAGGCTAAAGACATGATATCAATTCTTGTGCCATACACACAGTTGTTGATACTAGGGAAAAGGAAAAACAGACCTTGCAGTTGAGAATGAAGTATGGTTCATGCAATGCAATTTCAAATAATTTTGACTAAGGCAATCATCTTAACTGATGAGAAATGCAACAGCCCATCAGCATTTAGTAATTTTGTTCTCTAAGTTGTTATACATAAGATAACAAGAAATCCAATTTTTAATTTGTTGATAGCTTAGTTACCAAGCATTTGATCAGGAGAAGAGGTAATGGACTCAAGCAGCTTTGGAAACAACAAAGTAAATTCACTGTAAAGTGCTTTGCAGGCCAATGATGATTTCTTGCCAAGTAATGATTAGCTGCTGAAGGAAGCGTGTTCCTGCTTATGAACAAAAACACAGGAGCCACCAAACTTGCAAAAGCAAAGATCAATGAGTACCCTGGTATATTTTTATGAAGTTCTTGTTAATTTGCTACACAGCTTACAAATTTTCAATGAATGGCATAAATTCATGCAAATTTGAGGCATGCTTTCAAGATGTTCTCGCAGATAAGCAGCACCCCTTATTTGCTGTGGAAATTTTGGGAAAAAAGGCAGCTTATCTGCCAGTGTTTATGGTATCCCAAGTCCAAAACAAAACAGCAGATATCAATGCTGATCTTATGATTGTGCAAGTGCAATTTTCAAAATTAATTCAAAACACACACACTTTGCAACAAATCAATTATCACCTTATATAGTCATCAGTCAACTTACCATTTCTCAGGGACAAAAGGCCATGCATTCCTTTTTGCATCAATAATGAGCATCTGAAGTTTACTTGACAAGAGTGCATGCCACATACCAAAGGCACTTAGTAATTCATCTTCAACTGAGAAATCGAGGAGTTTTGCTGCACTCAGCTGGAGGCATTGAGCCACTGATATTGATACTACATCAATTTCTTGTTTGCTGCTACGCATGCTGCTGGCTTGGTTATCAACCAAGCCAAGCCTAATTAGCTTTTCTGTTTCCTTTGAAAGATGAATAACAGGGAGAGGTTCTCGCAGGTTACAGAGCTGGCTATAAACTTTTTTCTCAAAAGCAGTTAGGCGTTCAAATACAAATTGAAGGATCATTAAAATGGGATGGTGATCTTCTTTTCCAATTTCATGTACCATTTTGTAATTTTTCAGAGACAAAAGGACACAATTCAAACTCTTGTCTTGAAGGTTAAATTCTTTGAAAACATTAATCAGAATACTGATTGCTTTAGGGTTGCCATTCAATATGCAATGCATTTCAGAGATCTTTTCTTCACTTAACTTCCAGGAAGAGTTCAGCTGTCTGACATTAATTCTAAAGGATTGCACATTAAGACCTTTAACCTCCACAGAGAGTGATTGCCAATCCCTTATTTCTTCTTTGAAAGGAAAGTTACATTCACTGGAAACAAGTGCAACACCAACACTAGTTTTGTTCAACAACTTTGAAAGGTGAGACCAAACAATCCCACCATCAGCACTTGCATCATCTATGCAAATCAATTTGAAGTTTGTTGAGATGAAGGCTTCGGCAACTTTGTATTTTTTGCTTAACTTGACTTTTGAGTTGGTTAGAGTAGATGCTGTCTCTCGGTCCTGTCTTCCTTTTGCAATTTCACTAAGCAAATTCCAGAAGGACTCTAAGGTACACCCTTGTCTGACTCTTACACCAAACACCTCTGATAGTAATAATTTGCTTTGAATAGATGTTTCACAAACATCTAGCAAGACTGATGAACGTCCACAACCTGGTTCACCATAAATATTGACACAAGCTGATTTGTCAGATGTAGTGGCTTCTTCTAAATGTTTTAAAATTGATTGAAAAGGGATAGAGAGCTCCAGGTTACAAATATCTTGCTTTATTCTCTGGTTGTCTTGAAAGTAGAGCTGTGTCAAAGGTGTGTGGAACATTTTTACATCTGATTCAGTAGCTACCAGACCAAAAAAGAAAAAGATGAACTGTCACAATGAATAATTTAAATTTGACTAGAACATCCCATCAATTGCCATGATTAGAATAAGAGGTTCAAGAATGGAATGTTTATTAAAAATGTGCACACTGTTTTTCTTTAAAAAACATTATGCACTCCCTACCTCAGAAGCACCTACTAAAGTTATGGTGGGTGTGCCTGTCTGTGGGAGGGGAGGAGATGACAAGAAAAAAGGGGTTGTCTGAAAATCTTGGATGTCTGAAAACTTTAATTATTGCCAAATTAGCTACCTCAAAAGAAAAGAAAAATTAATGCAACTTAAGACCAAAATACCTGTTGAACATATGTACTCCACCATTAATTGGAGAAATCATGTATCACTAGAGACTAAAACTGGAGCTGGAATGCTAGTATTCACTTAAATCATTTGACATGAAAACTGAACATAAACATCACTACTCAAACTGAACCCCCTAAACATAAGATTTCCTGCTGACTTTGAAGATTCATCAGTTAACATGTCATCTGCTAGATAAACTGTATTCTCTGCACAAATTAAGGCTGTGAGTACGATTAGGTGCTAAATGTAACTTTGAGGAATTTTGACAATAGAACACCCCTGTTACTAGCATTTTTATGAATATCAATATCTCCACTGATTCTGCTTCTCTTTGAAACAGAATCTTGACGTGTCATAATATCCGCATCATAATACAGTTCTTATAACATAGTATGATAGGACTTAACCTTTTTCACAAATTCATATTAATTCTTTTATAAGATAACCAAACAATAGGGAAAATTTGTGAAACATACCGTTGAAAAATCCTCAGTGATATCAAAACTGGAAAAAAATTGTCGAAATACAAGTATTTCAGGTGGGTACTGGAAAACAGTAATGAGGTGTATTGAAGGAGTCCGAGACCATGCAAAAATACATTGATTTCAGGATATTACTGAAAATTAGATCTCTGTTCTGGTCTCCGATAAAACTTGTTGACTTCCTACTTCAGAGTAGAGATATGATTGTAACTTGACGTTCCATATCACTACATTAATCTGCTAAAAAAAAAAGGAAAACACTTTACCTGATTCACACAAAGGGAAACTTTGCAAAATCTTACCGAATTTCTCAGCCTTTCTACGTACTGTCACGCTACAGTCGAAGACTCATCTGAGACGAGGTATTCAGTAACGGTAATAAAACCGTCTGCGCGTGCGCTTGAGACCCGCGGTAAAAACGCGGGCTTAGACGCGCGCTTATTTAAACTCAATAAATTTTGTGGGAAATGAACAGCCGTTAGAAAAGTTGAAAAAATAAGGAAGCCGTTAAAAAGATAAGGTTTTAATTCTCATTTTTGAAAAGAAGAAAAGAAGTTTAAAAAATTTAGAGGGTGTACAAATTGTACTCGCACCGAAAAGAAATCTTTCAAAAAAAAAGAAAAGAAAAAAACAAACAAACAAGCAAAAAGGGCTTTCCAATTTTATAGAGACTAAAGATTCCTTTATGGAATCCTTTACAATGAATATCTTTCATTTTCCTTTGTTTCTTTTCTTGTGTATCTTTTTGTCTTTTTGTGTTTTATTTCTTGATTTTCATTTTACTTCCAGTGTAATTATATTAAGTTAAGAAAAATATGACCCACTATCTGCAGGTCAAAGGAATACCTTGTAGATATATAAGAAAATAAAATAAAAGTGTGTAAGTGTGGACCCTCAATGCTAGTACCCAATTGAACTACAGATAGTTTCTATTTTAATGCTGCCTTATGACTGACATAACTGCCTTGCAGTTGGTAGGTCCCTCAGTGCAAATTCTCTATTGAACAACTAACATTTTATTTTCATCATTTCACACTTTCAAGACTTGCCACCCTCTCACTTCCTTTCCCCTTATTAACCCACTATATTTGTAGAGATTTGGGAACCCTTTCATTTGGGATTCCATACTTTTACACAATCAATCATTCAATCAATCAAGTTTATTGTCTATAGGAAAGGCATGGTTACCCAGATTACCTAAGCCAGAGGCTCAGGTATGAAACATAAGACAGCAACCCACCCATCCCACCCCAGGGGAGGACAACCACCACATGGCAATCTCGTGCATGGGAAATTAACGTCTCCTACCCCTCACCTTACAGGAGACAGGGCCTACGGTTCATTCGTCCTTATCCGAGAATGACCAGAATATCTATCTATTTCTTGATATTATAGAAAGGTAGCAAATTCTCCTCAGTCATTTTTAAGACCATGAGTATTGGTCCGGCTGGGGCTTGAACCCTCGACCTCCCCCACAGCACAATCCGGCGCTCTAACCATGTAATGAGGTGCAACCAACCACTGTCGACTTGTTAAATCAGAAGTGTCAAAGAAAAGTTAAAAAATTTTAAGAAGTGACATGCTGTGAAACAACATTAAGGGCAGGTTTAAGGGCACGTTTTGTAAAAATGTTATGTTTAGTAAATTCTCCATGTTCTAAAATTTTTCTTGCAGATGGTGCAGAGATGCACCCATCATCAGGACCAACACAGGTGATTGATTACCAATTTAGTGCATTTTTTTTTTCTTATAGACAAACGTTGAGTGGGTGTTTGAGTACACTTAACTCGTTCATATAACACTTCATCAAAGTAATGAAAAACAAGTGAAATTTTACGAAACAATGACAAAATTCTAAATTTAAAGCTAGCTGGTGTCAAATTGAAAGGAATGAATGTTTATTATCCAACTACACCTAGACGAGTACGAATAACGCCATAGACGAGTACAAATATCACGCGGTATTTGTACTCGTCTATTGTAGTACCGGTTAAGCTGGTTTTCTCGCATCGCGCAAGCGAAGAATTGGATTGTAGTTACGGA